TAAGAAAAAGTAAATTGAATTAGTATTTCAAAATTTACATAAAAGTAAATGAAAATACTTAATAAAAAGTGAAAACTTACATGTACAGTCAAGGCACGTCCCTCGACCCACCTTTCTTGATCCGTCTCTTTCTGCTTCTTCACAATATAAGTCTCCCTGAATAGCTCATCTTGGTTCATCGGACGGCCCAACTTCTTTTCCTGAAAACTCATAAATTTTAATTAATAAATAGAATAGATATACTTTGAAAATTAAAATAAATTAACCAATTACGTACCATTCTTCTTTTTATTGTCCCCTGGCTGACTGCACCTCCAGTGTGCAATGATCCTCCCTTCTCAGATGCGCGATCTTTCTTTCCCTTTTCCCTCTTCTATAAGAACTCTGCAGTAAGCCATTGCCTTTGCAAATCATCCCAAAACTTCTGAAGAAACCAGCCAGGCTTCTGGTTCAGCTGTCTAGCTATGGAGAAAGAATGCGACAACCGCTTGCGAGCTTTGAGATTAAAATTTGCAGCCACGTCCGCGCTATACTGGTGTTCCCATACACACTTGCTCTGTATTTCAAAAGTTAAATATTATATGGAAATATCATAAATATAAATAATTATACTGCTTAAAAGAACATTTATACCTTAAATTCATTGAAAATTGCCTCCTTCAGTGAGAATGGGAATTCACGCCAAGACGCATAAGGGGCATCATAAAGCTTTCTGGTTGCTTTGGTGATTATCCTCGTAGTAATATTACTCGGGAGGAACCTGCAATTTAATAAATAAAACAAATTAATATCTTAGTAAAAACTGTACAAAAAAATAAACATAAAAATAACAAATAACTCTTACCCATCACCCTCAGGGACTATGATGATCCTGCCATACTGATCATAATGCACCTCCTCGTCAGAAGTAGTAGCAGCATCAACATCATCGTCTGAAACATGTGTATCAGAGGCATGTGTGGAAGGAGTAGGGGGGTCAGAGCTATTATCCCGCAAGCGAAGGCCTCCAATAGGTGGAGTCGCTGATGACGATAGATGTGATCCCTGTGACTGCGACATAGCTGCACGGATCGCAAGTGGCTGTGATACTGACTGTTGTGACCCGAGTGGTTGTGACCCGACTGACTGTGACACTGATGGCTGTGATCCATGTGGTTGTGACATGGATCGATGCGATCCATGTGATGTTGCTGGGCGGGATCCACGTGGTAGTGAGGCAAGTGGACTGTATGTCGGACGCACAGTCCGATGGCCCTGTGAAGAAACACCCGGGGTCTGCATGAAGGTGTAGGGCTGGTGATGCTGTGGAAACTAAGTATAGCCATGGGGTAGAGGCTGTGGCATAGTGATAGGCAAATCAGAAGATGGTGGAAAAGATTGATGAGTAGTATCTTCTACCCTCTTCTTTTGCTTCCTAGCCTTTTCTCGACCCCGAGAACCACTACCTTCATTTTTACCTCGACCCTTGCCTGTCATCTGCATAATATAATACATATTTAGATTGAAACATATAAGGAAACTATCTATAAATGAGAGTTATCGAAGAAACCAACTTTTTAAAGTTCATCGACGTATTCTTCCTCGTTAGAGAATTCTTCTTCCTCATTAGTTTGAGCTTCATCAGTTGATTCTTCTTCCTCGTTTTCTATAATTCTTACTTCATTTATATCAACTTCTTCCAATATGTGTTCAGAATGTTCCAAATCATTTTCTAAAAGTTCGTCCACTATTTGGTAAACACTGGAGATATCGTTTTGATATGCAACATCCAACACATTCTCGACTTCGACCCTACCTACAGGCTTAGTTTTGATTATAACCTACCAATCAGACTTATTCCGCTGAAATAGATAAGGAGCATAATACACTTGCCTAACATTATGTGCAATTATGAAAGGATCATAGCAATCATACTCCCTCGTATGATTAACCTCAATTATGTTATATTGATTGTGTACTCTCATACCTCTTGTTGGATTTGGGTCAAACCACTTGCATCTAAAGAGAATAATTTTCTTAAATGGCCTACCTGAATATTCTAGTTCTATTATTTCTTTGAGCACACCATAATAATCAATATCTCCAACTTGGTTGCCATCACCACCTTGAACCCACACCCCACTGTTGTTGCTTTTTTTATTTTTAGAGCAACCCTCTATATGAAACTTATAACCATTCACAACGTACTTGGAATATGTTGTGACCTCAACCCCAGGTCCCCAAGATATATCTTTCAAAAATTGATTTACACCATTATTTGGATCATTTACCTACATATTGTTAACAAAATTCATAAGTTAGCATAACTTCCAAACATTGTTTACCTACATAGTGTTAGAATATTTTAAGGATATACTTACAAATTGTTTGAACCACCTATGAAATGCCGTATATACAGCATCTTGGCCAAATTGACCCACGAAGTGACTGTGACACATCAAATATTTTTAGTAGTTGCATTGAGATGTAATCACAGTAAATTTTATATTTTGATAACTATTAAATCAATACTTACTTGAGAAATGGTACTACTTCGGGACAATTTAGCAACACATGAAGTGTAGCTGACTTGAACTCCATATCACTCAAATTTCTCTTTCTACCATCTTTAGAACATCGGCTTGGTTGATTGAATATGGACATAGGCGGATATAATGGATCATTCGTAAGGTAGACCGTGTGCCTGTTGGGCCTATTCCTAGCACATGGCACGTTGCTCTCAAAATAATAAGAATAAAAATGAGCAGTTTCCTTTGCAAGATAAGCTTCGCATATATATCCTTCAATTCTATTCCTCTGCTTAACAAATTGTTTGCATTTGCCAATTGTCCTACATAATTTTAGGTTAGCCAAGAACATTCAAATAAAACAGAAAATTATATATGGACTATACTATTACCTTTCAAAGGGATACATCCATCTGCATTGAACATGCCCTCCAAGTTGTGCCTCGTGTACAGGGTGGATTGGAAGGTGTTCCATCACATCAAAAAACCCACATGGAAATATCTTTTCCATCTTACCCGAAGTTACACGAATGTTCTGATCCATCCGGCGTAGGTTTTCTTCCCTTAATGTGGAAGAACACAAGTCTTTGAAAAATAAACTAATCTCAGTGATAGGTTTCCAGATTCTTTCAGGCAAACCAGAAAACGCAATAGGCACTAAGGTTTCCATGAAAACATGACAGTCATGACTTTTCAAATGACTCAACTTCCCTACCTCTATATCAACTTTTTTCTCAAAATTCGACGCATAACCCTCAGGCATCTTCAATTTCGTTACCCAATCACAAATCTGTCGTCTT